CTAGAGGTCCGTATCCAAAATTTCATTATCATATTCTCAGCCTAAAATATTTCGGTAGCTTTCCGGAATCGGGAACTCCAGGATTCTTGAGAAGCATGGTATCGAGACTCTGGTGGAGCTTCCTGGAGTGGGCGAGAATTTGCGCAAGTGCCCAAGTTTCATTTGTCGCAAAAACATCCTGAATAAAAACAGAGGATCATATCATGGCTTTCACTGTCGCCGAGGTTGACGCATCTTTAGAAACGGTGGACGTGCTACGTGATACCGCGGAGGCGCAGAGACATGCCGAGTTGTAGTAGGTGCATCGACCTGACAGTTCGTTCAGTGGTTTATTTCGCGTATATGCAGTAAAGAGCAGAAGGGTCTTTTATCGACGCTTCAAGCTCCTGCGTATGTCTTTATTCCCGCATCAAAGCTCGGCAGCGCCCAAGCGTGGCGGGATGCAGCCGACGTCCAGTGCGCCGCCTACCTCGCCAGCATAGACAATCCTCAGCTTCGCGCCGGTCTCGCAAAGCAGTATGCTATCCAGAAACGGTGGTTCTGTGACGAGAAACACGCACAGGGAGAGTGAGTCCAGGATTTCCGCCCAACGCGAATCATCCCGTGACTCATTCTACAGAGTCTCCTTTTACAACGGACACTTCCCTCTGCCCACGCTCCAGCCCAAACCCGGGAAGAGATACATGACGCTTAACGCTAGTATTCTGCATCCATTCTCTCGGGGGAGCGTGCACATCCAGTTGAGTGGCCCATCAGAGCCGCCGGCTATCGATCCACAATACTTCTCCAACTCTGTTGATCTTGAGGTTCTGATACATACAGTCAAGCTGGCGTTGAAGGTTTACGAGACGGAACCGCTGACTGAGCTTGTGGTGCCAGATGGGCTGGTGTTTCCGACAAGGGCCGACTTGGAAGGTGATAGACTAAGAGAGTTCGTTAAGAACACATGCTCCACGGTATACCACCCGCTCGGCACTGCAGCGATGATGCCCCGGGATTTGGGGGGTATAGTAGATAGTGCGCTAAGAGTTTATGGAACGGACAACCTGCGCGTGGTACGTCGACGTCGACTCTTCGTATAGTCATCTAGTCTAATAATGCTTCAGGTTGACATGTCTGTGTTTCCGCTGGTAAGTAGATTGGGTAGTTGATGGATTTGACTAAGTGCCTTGATAGGAATTAGCAAGTCATACACAGTCTAGCGCTTACGCCATGGGAGAGATGGTAGGTAACACGCTATACTCGAGGTCCTCACTGATGCCTTCCAGGCTGCTGGTATCATAAAAAGAGGGGTGTAGTGATGAGATCTTAGTACGACTTATAAAAATGAAGTATTAGGTGGTGACGTCGCTCATGACAGTCGTAAAACATATATGAGAGCCATTGATCATGGTACATAGTGCAGAATCCAGATTCTAAAATTATATGCTAAAAAGTGACTAGAACTGATAAGAATAAAATAAATATTGAGATCCGTAGATCTACCACTCCGGGAAAGCGTGTCATCCTTGTGCAGGGGCCATGCTAATCTTCTCTGTATCGTTCCAATTTTTTCGTATGTCACCCCCGAAGGGGACAATAGTTAGTGCGATTGATGCAAGGTCATCCTAACAGTTTTGTATTCTTGTTGACTCACTGGAGCACAGCCACTGCAACATTCCCATATATGGAGCAAAAATGCAAAGCGAAGGGCTTGAGCCTCTTTGCTCCCGCCGTTGTCGTAGAAAAGCCACCGCTATAACAACTTAGACTCCACCCGCTCGTAGTACTCAAAGTTATTAGCGCGAAATTAGATTACACAGTGATGGTACTCATGCGAAATGCAGCCTAAGAATGCAGATATCACAATCGACTCCGTATCTCCTTCTTCGCCAGATCACGCAACTGCCGTCGAAGAATCTTCCCCGCAGCACTATGCAGTATTCATGTCAGTGGGCACATCATAAAATCATTACGCACTCACCTCTTGGGTATAACATCAATTGTCACGACGCCTATGGTGAATGTTACTATAAATGTACCTAAGGACTTTAAAAGCGTACCTCCGCGCAAATACTTATGCTTAGCGACTTTGGACTTTATCCAGCCGGCTATCTGCGCGCCAAACTCAGTCTTTTGCGCGTCGGTCTTCACTTTTTCGGGATGCGTAGGTACAACATAGGCTCTAGTGCGGCTATTCAGCGAGATACCGCTGGGAAAAAGTGAAGGATTTACCTAGGTAGCTCCGTAGCTTCTGCAACGTCTTCAATACCAATCACAGCCACATCAGCCACTCCAGGATGACTAAGAAGTATGCTTTCTAGCTCTGCCGGAGGAACTGACAGAAGTGAGGTAAATTTATGTGATGAAAATATTTTTCCAGGGAAAACTTGCCTTGAAATCCCTGGTTGTATCGGTAGAATTCAGTCCGAGGCCTTTCAATGAAACCAGATCTTACCTTGTACTTAATCAACTCCTTTACCCTATCCACGATGAAGAAATACCCCTCATCATCCCTGACAGCGATATCACCCGTCTTTAGCCACCCGTCCTTCGTGATGGTGTTCACGGTCGCGGTCGGATTGTTGATATACCCCTTCATCACGATAGGCCCTTTAATCCACATCTCTCCCGTCTGAGCATCATGACCGTCTTCGTCAACGATTCTGGACTGCAGATTAGGCAGGAGCAAGCCTATGCTCCCTGCCTTTCGCGTTGCATCAGCCACAGGTAGCAGGTGTGTTACGGGTGAAAGTTCAGTCATGCCGAAACCTTGAATAACGGCCGCATTTACATTGAGCGACGGCAGTCGCGCGGTGACCTGCACGTGTGTGCATTCAGTCAAGAAAGCAGGCGTGGGTCTGGTTCGCCACCCACCTGATTCGTCAATTCAGGACCTAATGGAGCAGCTCCAGACGTCAACAATTTCAACGACGAAAGGTCGAATTTCTCCACCACTGTGAACAAGAGTGAGATTACAGTTTTCGAGGGAATGGGACACAATTACATGGGTGCCGCGAGAGGAATACTGCTATGGGTGGAACAAGCATAACAATTTGAATCTTGTATTTTTGGATGTCCTCGCAAAATCTCAGCGGGTCAAAGCGTTGTTGGATGTAACTCGTATGCCCGAGTTTTTGGGTGAGGAAAAGGATGATGACAGCGCCATAGATGTGGTACATGGGTAGGAAACCGAGATGTTTGTTCCCAGTACCATGAGTCCATACCGCGGCGAGCATGTCAATCTCCGATGTGAGATTTTGGTGTGTGGTCTGAGAAAGGAGTTAGTTCATCAGATACTTGTTAATCATCGGGTCTTTGGAAAGACCGATACGACTCGGAGGCACAGAGAGAGAACTTGGAGATAACTACGCCATAGAGATATGAAAAAGTCTAGGCTTACCTCGACGCCCTGTTAGGTATTTAGTATTGTGATGCACATCAAGGGACGAGGCGCACCTTCGGTTTACCGGTTGTTCCCTGTGCCACATTAAGATTAACCTCAATGCCGTAACGGAAGGCAGGCGCTCGCTTACTGAGCTATAACACAACAGGGCAGTCTCAAGCGCGCGCTCCCCATCAAATTTCTCCTCTTCTTCCAACGAGCCGAATCCGAGCAAATCTTCCATGTGCAGCAAACTTGACGTGCGAGGAGCATCTGGGCCACCCGCCCACTTGAGGCCCTTGCCAAGAACGATAATTCTTGCATCAGCTTGATCACCTTGCACACCAACTTCCTCGAACATCGCGCGCACAACAGGCAGACTGTCTTCGGTCGTAAATATCCGCCGTGCCCGGCTGTCCGTGTATTGATGTGCAAGCTCGTGGCTCGTGTAAGCATTATTGGCCAGCGTGCATCGTAGGCCAGCAGCGATTGCTGCAACTGTTCAGCTATATGGGCGCTATCTACGCACGAAGGACGTACCACCGAGAAGGACGACAGGATAAGCAAGCGCATTGGGCGAGAACACGAGGACCGTATCCCCCCGTTTCTCACCCTGATGTCGGAGACCGTATCCAAGAGAAAGGCACAGAGAGCGCAATTTCGCTCGAGTCAAGACAGTCCCAGTAGCAGAGTCGACGAAGACAGAGGAATCAGCAGGATGGCCGCCAACGAGTTTACTCTTCTGACTGCTCTTGTGCAGAAGGTGGGTGAAAAGGGAGTGATTGACGATGGGAATGTCGGAATAGGGCGAGGTGTAGAAGGACATGTTGCGTGCCTACGAAAACTTTTCGGCGCCGACCTTTATAGCTCAGAAGCAACATGTCTGATAGTTATTTAAAATGTAGTGATGCGTGCCGGACCGGAAGTCATTTAATAGCCGAGGCCATACAGTTATTTATCAGCCGCACATCAAGGCTTTGATATGAAATCTTTCAGCTCTCGTTGGTCGTTCCTCAGAATTCTTTCTAGCATCAGAACTTCCTATATGGCTCTATATGTGACATGAACATTTTCGACATTTTAGACGACGTGCTGAGGCGCAGTTTACAGGTTTAAATGCATGGTATTACTACACAATATTGTCTGAGCCTAACTTGGGAGGCATCACAATCCACACAGCACCTGAATAGGTACGGAAAGCATCTCCCTTCAAAACATACATATAGACTGGAATCCGAGTCTCAGCGTAGCGCAAGAATATGATTTGTAAAGAAGACTGGCCCAAATCGTATCTACAAAGGTTATGATGATGTTGATGAAATAACTTGGAAGTAATCCTCAGGTGGCCAGCAACCGACTCAATACAAGGCGGTCTCAACAATCCTGACCACCGCCATGTATGCAACATTCCACTACCCATATCTCCCTGAATGGATAACTGACTCTAGACACATAATTGTAAGCATCTTACTTTCAGCCCGAATTTTGGGTCTAAAATTTGTAAACTACTTAGTAAACGAAACGAATGTATACATAGTTAGCCGACAACTGAAATGCGCATTGCGGGGCGGCGTCGGACGCAGTTACCAGTAAGAAAGATAGATTTTCGAAAAAGTTTCTCATAACACAACAAAATCGACACCAGCAGGATTTGAACCTGCGCCCTCAGAGAGGAACAGATGACACGGTAAGTATTCGAATCTGTCGCCGTAACCACTTGGCTATAGTGCCTCATCCAGTTTGTTGTGCAGATCTATCCAACGAGCAGGCAATCTTCTCTGGCGAGCCGTCCTCCCCTCTTTTTACTTCCTTCCCCCAACCCTTCATCATGCCGCGCAAAGAAACGAACACGGGCTCCATCACCGCTCAAGCCCAGCAGGACGCTGTTTCCGACGGCATCGAGAACTTTGAACTCCCCAAGAGCCTCATAACCAAGATTGCGCGGTCGGCGGTTAGTTGTAGCCACTCACTTTCACTCCCTCTCCTTAATTCCTTCCTCACAGATTCCCGAAAATGCCAAGCTTCAGAAGGAAAGCATTCTGTCGCTTGTGAAAGGGTCGACGGTATTCATCAACTATCTTGGTACGTCAGCCTGACACGGTACAACGACGCGTCCTGACTGGGGCTCGCATTCGTAGCTGCTACGCAAGTACACTGATTCTCACGCGTTTTCTCGTATCTCATCCTCCCTAGTGCTCATGACGTTGCTCTATCGAAACAACACAAGAGTATCAGCGCAACAGACGTTCTCCGTGCCCTCGAAGTAATGGAGCTGGGCGACTTGGTGCAGAACCTCCAGGAGGAGCTGCAAGGTGTGTCTCCGTCATCTTCCATCTCCCTCGCCCTTTTGATAATACTGGGGTTTTAGTATACCGTGAACTCAACAAAACCGACAAGACCAAACGGGCTACATCCTCCGCAACTCCGGTGCTCCGCACAACGCCAGGCGTCAAGCTAGCAATGGGGTCCGTCTCTGCTCCAGCACCGGTTGTACCTACTATCAAGATCAAAGGCAAGGAGAAGGCCACTACGCCGTTTACGTCGACCCCCTTAGGACTTACCCCTTCCGAAACTACGCCGGCCACGTCTACACCGGCAGCACTTCCCCCTCCCGAGTCAATATCGACGGGACCTATATCTGTGGACGTAGACCAAGAGGCGGCTGAAGAAGAGGAAGAGGAAGTCATCGAGGAAGAGGAGGACATTGATGAAGAAGAGCAGGACGAAGAAGAGGAAGAAGAGTTGCAGGATGTCGTCGCGCTTGAGGAGGAGGAGCTCAGAAACGATGCAAAGGGGTTGGATGACCCTGTTGGCGCTGTTCGTCCTGAGGTGCCGAAAGATGACGATAAGATGGTAGAGTGATCATAAAGCTCGCTTCTCAAAATATCTTATTTGTTTTGTAAGTTCTCGTCCTGTAACTTTATTTAATTATTAGAGTCTCTTTGACCCGTTGTAATAGCCTTGTACCATGTTAATGGCCCGGTACCCTCCCAGCACCCTTCATGTCCGCGACCCATTTAAGTGGCGTCACGGAGTTGCAGTCGATTCTGTAAATCGGCTGGGTGCCTCGAATACATATTAACCATTTTACAAGTGGCATTCATGGTGCTAAAATCCTCAATGCAGCAAATCCCTGGCGACTGCTCAATCGATGCTGTAGTAATTGAGTCCACTGGCTCCGGTCGTTATCCATTGGATTCAGATGTGGTCGAAGTCAGTCAGACCAATCATTACCAGCTCGTTTGTATCAGTTTGTATCACACGGGGGTTACAGGTCATACCTTTGAGTCGTTGTGCTGATAACTATTATTGTGGGTACTTACAGCCCGAAGACAAAATGCTTGTACCTAAACTTGGCAAAATTCGTGCCAACGAAATTGATGGACTTCCCCTCAGGATGACGCGAAGCCCTGAATCAGACATGAATACATCGAAAATTTGATGCTTGACACAACACAGGAGGCTCCGTCCTATAAAATGTGGTTAGAATCGAGAGTGTCACCTTGGGGGAAAAATAAACGCACTGATAGATGGATCGTGGTCCAAACAAGTAACATTCGTGGATGCAAGTAGTGCCAGCCTGGTGATTATCTAGTGATGCCTTTCGTTTTCAGTGTATCGCAAAGGAAAGGTGAGGGGTGTAATTCCAGTTATCTGGTCAAGACATTCAAGACTCCGGGCGTGATAATACCACTCCCGATTCACGTGTGTCGCTCTAGCATCTCGCTCAGCTCTTCCAAATCAACACTTCCATCTGCCACGCCAACGAAGAGATCTACAATCCTGGTAACGTCTTCATCCCGCATGACCAGTCCTGGAAATCCCTGCGCCCTCAAATACATATGTCCCAGCAAGAATCCGGTACGTTTGTTCCCATCCATGAACGGGTGGTCTACTCTATCATCAGCACAGCAACCATCCCAACTTGAAAGCGGATGATACGCACTCTTCACAATCCCATATGCCAGACTGGCCGCCAAGTATCTCTCGCTTCTATGTGGCTCGTAGCGTGCTATCTGCGAGGGCCGAACCAAAGCCGACTTGAGCTCGTTGGGTTTGACGATGACAGACTGGCGGACCAGATGCGTATTAAGCATTGTCGCGTAAGTCGGTGTAAGGAGGCGGGTGACCATAGACGACATGAGTCGTTTGGGGGCTACAAGTCATTCATCCGACTGCTTCAATCCATGAATGACCCCTTGCACTTTGTCGTCATTCAGGCTCTCTATCGTTACCCGACCAAGGGCATCTGAGTCACTGCCTGCCTTGGTGATTGCAATATAATCTTCACGGCCATTCAATTTCAGAGACACCTCTGGAGCATGCTGAGCATGCCAACCGAGGGCCGTCGCAATGTCCTTGGAGACATAAACCGTCTGTGCGGCACGATCCAGGAGAACCTTGTATTCTTCGGAGGAGCTGGTGGAAAGACAGCGCATACCATGAAGGCGAAAGCGGCTGGGGGCGGTACGGTACATGATCATGGTCTCAAGAGAAAGGCGGAGTTTAAAGAGTTCCTTGACCAGCGCCTCTCAACTCGTCGGTACCAATGTCGGCGCCTATCACTAGCCAGCCGCGGAGTTTAAAGGCAAACTTGCTCCTCACCTCATCACTTTATCTTGCAAGCGAGTACCGTTTGACGATCGTCATGCTATTTAGTCAACTCTCTCGTAGATTTATTCCCCTTATGATGCTTTCTCATACCCAGTCACCTCGAGTTTGCTCGGGCTGCGATTATTCAAATCATTATATTCCTTCCAAAAGTTCTTGCGATGAAGAAACAATTCAAGCTGATCCTACATTTCGCAGCTGCTTTCTACGCTCCAACAGCCCTCCCTCTTCATCCGAAGAGTATATATTGCGGGATAGCGTATCAGTGGGCGAAGCGCGGGTTGCTGCAATCGACAATCATGTTACTGTCCTGAAGGAACTTCAGCAGGCGCTTTCTACTCAGCTTGCCTTGATTGAGGCCGAGTTGGAAGACCTTGACAGCCAGCGTGGAAATATGTCATCTCGCGTAGCAGAGTATAAGCGTCTTCTCTCCCCAGTTCGTCGTTTACCTCCAGAAATCCTCCTCAAGATCTTTCTCGACACGGTCATCTTTCCCATGCCGCGAACGCAATCCCAGAGAGATAGATACTGGTGGGATTTCCACCCTAGCAAGAGCGCGTTGTGGTCAATTGAGCTTGTATGCAAAGCATGGCGCCGCGCCGCCCTTGGCTTCCCAGAACTTTGGTCGAGCATTAACATATTCCTCAGCGACGAGAACTTTTCGTCCTCGAATTTTCGCTACGTTCGACAATTGGTGCTCCAGGTTACACGAACGCGACATTATCCATTGTCAGTCCTGATATGTGCGGGATCTCCCCAGACGTTGGCGTCTTCCAAGTCATTGCCGCCTCAGATTTCCACGCTCCTGTTCTCCACGCAAGATCGAATACAATCCCTCTATCTTTATCTGCCTCCTGCAATGTTCACTTTCATGTCAACTCTTCAACTTTACCTTCCCGTCCTCAGAAATCTCACTCTTCTCTCCACGAATGGTGAAGAGTTCCAAAAGTTGCCTCGCATGAAACTATTCGGAGAAACGCCACTCTTAATCGCTCTCGATATCGTCGATATAAAAAGCGTCGTTCCTGTCCTTGATTTGCCCTACCATCAGATCACTCATTATTCCACTTACCATGTTTTTCACCGATGTCGCAATCCTGGGCCCGCGACTTCTCACATCCTCGCCGTGCTTTCAAAATCTAAAAATCTGGAGGAATGTAATTTGCGATGTGAACTTTGCGATTTGCACGGCCTACCATCAGTCAGAGGTGCTCGCCGATCTTGCCAAAAGCTTCGAACATTGACATTGAGCTCGTGGGGATACCCCAATTCTGTCCTCGCCGAGCTTCTTGATGCTCTCGTCATACCCCGTTTGTCTACTCTTGCGGTGCACTGCTGTGTGGATGAGGGGTATGTACCGCCGTCGATACGTGATAGAGAAGATACTTTTACAGCTATTCGGAGAGCTATACGCCGATCACGGTCACCTTTGACTACATTGCACTTCACCCACGGTGATATAGACGATGAAGATCTTCTTGCCCTCTTTCTCATCACCTCGTCTACCCTCCAAGAAGTAAAACTTCTTGACGTGGGTCCTAGGGCCTTGACAAACGGCATCCTCGCTCCTCTGGTGGTATCAGACGCGGATAATGTTCTCCTACCGAGACTACATACGCTGCATATCAGCGGCGAAATGCAGTTTGATGCTAGTCTTCTTGCAGAAATGGTGAAGTCACGGTGGACGTGTAAAGGATCCTCTTTCCGACGTTTGCGAACGATCATTTTGCGACGATCATTGAATATTGAAGATGATAAGGAAAAGGAGGAACTCGCGCGCGCATTAGCCGTTTCGAAGCTGGAAGATTACTGTATTGAAGGATTGAACTTATCCTATAGCATTCTCTAGGTCTACGACCTGCAGACTTATATACGTATTGCAGCATGCATCACCAGTTCATTCGCGCTATGTCGTCCGTATGAAGCTATGTTCTCTTGGCATGAAAAATGGACCATCCTCTGGGTTATTGATCCTCCTATGGCAGCAACTGTCATTGAGCGAGAAGAGTCTCGTTTCCGTGGCCTTTAGACAGTGTTCATAACAGCGAGTCTCGACCGTAAGTTCCAGATAGAAAGCATTTATTCCAGAACTACTCGGGTATAATGCTCTGCACACGTCG